TATATCTTATGCCTACTGAGGGAACATTATGACAAACAATTCTCTTCAAGTATACGTAAAATGACATTACCCATTGACAATGCGGTTTGCTGAGAGTGCAAGTGTTGTAAGCCGAATGGGTGGTCGGACATTGTAGAGGCTGTATTAAATTTATAGAAATCTGCGCCGATGTTGTATGGTAATTGTCCCAACAAGCACAAAATGTCGGAATCTTTATTAGTGACGGCTTATGTTCTGTATTAGATGTGCAGTTTCGATTTACTGTTTGTGTGTTTTAGGATTGTACACGTTGAACTTTTGTTTGTTTTCGATCTTGAAATACGATCTCGAAGTTTCGCATTCCTTTTTAAGTTCTTCAAGTCAGGGATATGTTTATATAGCTGAGAGTCTCGATCAAAAGGTAAAAGTTGTAGCTTAGAGTCATCATTTTGGTGAGAATACTGAGAAATTACTTTGAAAGCAAATATATTCCGGAAACAGTAACGCAAACACAATTTGAGACTCTAAGCAGCATTTTCCTTTCATAATTGAACAGTACCTCACTCTGGGCTTGCAACGATAAAACTAAAAAAGAGGTGTGCAACAAAAGCTGTTCGGTGTCGCTCTCGAATTTTCAACAGGGGCATAGCTTTTCTTATGTTTATCTTTCATCTCTTCATTCATGTCCTTTGCAAATACGTGATGTTTGTGAAGGTGGCTGATTCAGTCACGGTAAGTAAGGAAGTAAAACCTCTATTTATACATGATCTAGTTGTTTAGATATGTGAGTATATAATGATACAGGGTTAGAAAAACCAGCAACAACAACCGTTGTCTCTCTTGGAAGTGTATTCCACTGTTGAATCACTCTAACAAAGAGTGAGTGGGAAAAATAAACAGTTTATTCTAGGTAATTGTTGTCTTAATTCAAATGAACAGTTTGACCTTGGTTTAATGTTTGTTCTGATAAGCTGGTAATAATCAGAGTTAATAACTATGTAATAATGGAAATTCCTAAAACCGACTAATCGTTTAGTCCCTTAGAGGTGACCAGCATCTACTTTCTCCATACAGCTCACTGCTGCATCATACATTGAGGTAACGGGAATAAAGAAGATGATCACCAACTGGAAAAGCTCTTGATTGCCAAAACAAATTCTCCTTGTCAGTATTATAGAGAGAACAGTATGGAGAATATGCTTTCTGATCTTTCTGATCTTGCAGTGCAAGGGAGAAAAGAGTTAATCAGCTCCTTGTCGATTCTTTATGCTCGTCTTGCCCTCTATCAGTTTCAACATTTCGCCAAGTTTTGCACCTTAGAATGCGGGGTTTGGTAATAAATATTGCTATCTCTTATTAAATAAATCCGATTTTACTTAAATTTGAAGACAATTAGAGTAAACTTTGTCAATAAAACTGGTCAGAAAAGACAGAGCACAATACGATAATTGCAACGGTGGTTAAAAATGCACAAAAACACAATAAAAAGAAAACCTTGGCATCGATGCTTTTTCGACTCGCGTTTCCGCTTATCCAGAGCAGTTCAAGGGAAACTGAACTGGACATTAGGAAACATGCAATATTTAAGGATTTTAAATTAGAATTTATAAGCGGATGCTATTTACACTCGCAGATCGGAAAGGGAACCGTGCATTTCCAGTCCAGAAATAACGTCATATAAATAATCGATGATGGTGTTATTAAAAACTCGTTGGTTTCCCTCTTTTGCTTAACAGGTTAGAAATGACAATGTAGAACGCAGAAAAGGCTACTTTATATTCAGGAAGTAACCTCTGATCCTCGCTAAGACTGAGAACAGATTTAAGAATACCCGAGGATGTCAACAAATGATAAGGACCCAATACGAAAATATTATTTCTTAATAGCGCTTTATACTATTACTAAAAATATATTTTGTTACGTGATAACCTATGAGACCCCCGCATAGACCCAGACAAACATTGCGACCAGCTTAAGGAAATGTATGAGCGAGAGCTGTAAAATTAAAACAAAACGACGGAAACTTTCGTCAAAAAATGACTTGGCGTTCTAAAAGGAAGCGGCATGGTTGGTACCAAACACTGTTGTTGGGGTGAGTGTAAGACAGACTCAAGATATGCAGATAAATGGCCAAAATGACTCAAAAAGTGAAAGGAATTAGGGAAGAAAGTATTCATTCCTTTCCCAAAACCATCGCGAGACATGGCAAAGTGCAAGCGTTGGCTAGTGGCTTGTTCGCGTGAGTTTTTTACGGAGAAAAACATAACAAGAAACACTTGAGTTATATTCGTGCTCTTCACTGGCCCGGCGGAAAAGGTCCAACAGCCGAATTTCCCGATCCACTGAATCTAAGACCAGCGCAAGTAAGTTGAGCCCATGCTCCTAGGAGGAAAGCACCGAAAGAAAGAGAAAATTCAGCGTCAAAGAAACAGAAATTATTCAATGACAACTGCATGAACATTAACTAAATAAACTACATAAACTGGCATTTAATAGAAACACAACCAGTATTGAGCGAAATATACAAAAATCCGCCGCTCGTATCTTACAAAAGAGGGCGATCGCTCAAAGACACTCGTGAGGGCCAAACTTTGAATAGGCTATTCTAAACACGCGCTGGTGAGTCGTGTAGGCCTGTCAACCCCCTTTTGACATTGTTTACATCAGAATTTTCTTGAAGAACTTTGGCAGCAAACCATTTTTCATGATCGATTGCCGGATCAAGGGTGTGATAATTCCCGCATCTCACACAGTCTGTACAAGATTCTCTCGTTTACTGCTTAGTTTTAAGCCCCTACATTTTAACCACCGTTTTAGCTGGTCTACAGTGTATTCTTCCGGTTCTCTTTCAAATTTGGAGCCAGGAACGCCGTCCTCTTCGGTCAGAACTGTAAGGGAATAAGCGAACTACTCGCCATTTCCCTTGTAGCTCTCAAAGAAGTGGAGTTTGTTTGTCTGAGTCACGCAGGGGAGTCTAAAACTTCATGACGTCATTAGTATAAAGCGCTATTCGGATATCCCCCAGATTCGGCCACTAAAAATAACAGGACGTGCGTAATTTGGAAATTTACATTCTTCCCTAATCTTCAACTGTCACGCCGGTCTTGCATTCGCGCCAATCTAAAGGAACTGAACCAATTAGTCATTTTGGTTTTTTATCAACTGAGTTGATAATGTAGATTGGCCACCGTTAAGAGTCTGAAAGCTGACGTCTCGAGTGTCAGCTTTGTTACTCTTTACGGTGGCTAACTTACATTATTAACTCAGTTGATAAAAACCAATATTACCATGTTAATCCCTCTGACCCAGCACTACAGTTCCTTTAAAACTTGCCTCCTTTCAAACCAAATTATTTTCCTTTGGATTCCTTTCCACAGCTTTAGTTTTCATCTCGAGGTTATCTTTACATACCGAAACATCAAATTTCAACTCGATTCTCTTGTATTTCCTGTAAAGGCTTAAGTTTTAATTATCGCTACCTTTTTGAAATGCGTCGTACCCATTATTATGTTTAAAACGGTATTATTAAAAGATCGATCTCTTCCTGTTATGACAATTAAGTTAACAAGTTGACCCAAACATCTTTATTTGGCCATGTTAATAGTTTAAGAGTGAGGCTTGCGTGTCCTTGTTAACAAAGTCTGTTTTTACGCCACGTGTCTCAAAAACGTCTCAGGCTTTCTGTATCGCTCGTGTTGCAATAAAAAAATGGCTAGTAAGGATTGCGCCCCTGCACGCAATGGAATTCTGTAAGATGTTTTTGTTTTATTACACTATAGCGGAAAGTAGTAAAACCGACAAACCCTTTAACTCCATAGGGGTAACTAGCAATTTCCCACTGTCTAGGGCATTATCGATCATATAAATGACATCAACATTATTCCGAAAACTAAAGTAAAACCACTAGGCGTAGCAATGAAATTTCTATGCCAGGAAAATGCGAAAAATTACACAGTCGCGCCTATCGTGACCTATTTCGTAATTTTCATGATCTATTTAACAATTATTCCACGAGCGCAGGTTGGATATGAGATGATGGATAGCCAACGAGGCGCGTAGCGCCGAGTTGGCTATAATCATCTCATATCCAACAAGCGCGAGTGGAATAATTGTTTTATTAAAAACGCCCCCAAGATATTATTATTTTGTAAGAAGAAACCGGATTTTTTAGCTCCCTTTTGATTTTAAGCTGACGCGTACGCTTACCATATTTGTAGATTATGGTATATTGGCTAATATACCATAATGGCTAAGCCAATAAAAAGTCTTGAATTGCATTATCCAATGATCCAGTTTTTAATAAAACCTGTTATATAACAAGCTGAGTTATGTACGCAATTTGATCGGTTCTTACATACGATCTATTAAAGTAAAGATGACGTCACCATTAACAATTTTTACTTCTCTGTCATTTGAAACAAATAGGTCTGATTATTTAAACAAAGTTTGGCCGTCGATCAACAAAACCGCATCCTAAACAATCTCAAGTTTAGTTGAACCTTTTATCTAAACATTATTTTTGTGAACAGTGTCCAGAGAACCGAAAGCTAACAGCGGATAAATTTCATGTTGGCGCGGGCCTGTTTAGTAATAGAACCAAATATAAAATTTGACGTCCGATCAGTGATCTATTAGTGAACAGACGCACGGCAACATGGGATTGATTTGTTAAAGAACTCTCGACCAATAAGCGCACGAGAATCGGACAGCCGTTTTAGTACTAAGCAATATTAGGCAATAGATTTCATTCAGTTATCAGGCAAACAACTGGTTATAAAAGGGCTTTACTTTGAGAGGGTCTGTGACTACACAAATAACTTCAGTTGGTCTCTTGGGAACAAATGCGCAGACCATGATGGTTTTAACTAGTATTCTAAAAAGGAAACGCCCGCCGTGTCACATTACGTCGTGAATAAATCACCTGCACCCCGCATAAATTACACACTCTTAGTTCATATTTCTTTGAGTTTAATGTCACTCATTCATATAATTTTATACTAAAATAATCAGTAAAATTAAACTCAGGGATCAAACAAGAATGCTACCGGAAGTTCAACTACAGTCCATTTCCAAACGACTTCCCCTGTTCTGACATCACATTTCTGCACCAGGTCCCTATGAGAGTATCGCACTGCGCGGCAAAAGTGCTTACAATTAGGACACACTGCCTTGGTCAGGAATCGAGGGTAACGATTTGGGTTGTCATCGAGTGCCCAGCTCCAGGGGCACTTTGAGGTGCCTGGCAACCGCCCGTTGACGTCACGAATTCTCCGCCTTGTAATTCCAATAGATGGTTGCGGTGAAGATAAAGGTTTCTCGACGAACATGAAATTTCGGCGTAGACGATTAAGGATCTTTTGAGAAGTAAGAGGAACTTTCGTACATAAAGGAACTTGAAGAGAGGATGAAATCATTCCCAATAGGAAAAGTGCGACAAAAAGCTGTTGCAAGATAAAAACGTTAACAAAATGATAAGCTTTTTATTTTCAAAAAAATACACACATATGGGCTCCTAAATTGGTTCGCCAAGAACAAATACCGTGCTCAGCGGGGAACAGCTTCTAATTTTTTCAACTCATTTTTTGGAGGACAGGCCGAAAACTCGAGGAAAATATCGATTTTGGTCTGGGCTCTTTCCTCCTAGATATTGAAAATATTTGTGAAGAATTAAATCCTAAACATCTCTCTGTTTTATCTGTCCAAATTATGGCGCTGATCATGGTCTGAGAAAAAAATCGCCAAAGCTCTGTAATTTTTACATTTTCTCTGGTTCGGGTTCCCCGTGATTGGGGGGGGGGGGGGGGGAGAGTTTCGCATAAGAAATTCCACTTTTTAGCGTTTAGATTACCTGATTACGGTATCTTTGTCAACTTGAAATCGCGAGTATGGCATGAATATCGGCTGTGATACTTTGCATGTATATTACACTAACAGATTTCCAAGATCTTATTCTAGCTATTTTTACTGAATATGCTCGTCATGGCCCCATGAGCTGCTCAATTTCGTCTTGAACAGTGTAATAGCGAAATGAAAGGATTTGTCACTGTCATAAGGTTTGGTATGCCAAAGTGATTTTGGTTTTATCAACTGAGTTGATATAGTAAATTGGCCACCGTAAAGAGTTTCAAAGCTGACGTTTCGAGCGTTAGCCCTCCTTCAGAGCGAGATGGAATGCCAATTTTCCCTCAAGAGACGACCCTCTCCCCTCCCCTCTAGAATCCTTCACTTTTTGCCACGGTGCATTTCCCATATGACTCTTCTAAGCTTTAGAGTTCTCATGATAGGATCTGGTGCAACACACGTAATAATTACTAAATAAGGATGAAAAAAACTCAAATAATACAATAAAAAAGGCTAGGAGAAAAAGAAGAAAAATTACTGACCTCTTGTAATCGTGAACCCATGTCTCCGGCTAGATGTTCACAGTTGACCCTGTCTGCGTTTAGTAGCGAGGCGGAAAGTTGTTTCATGTTCCACACGATATGCAAGGCCCTTTTATATCATAACTATGTGCTTACTTATGCTTTTTTGGGTCTGTTTCAAATAACCTTTTACTTTCACTTTCACACCCATATTTTGCGAAAGTTCCGTTGAAACAGCATCCATAAAGGAAACTTTGGTAAAATACCAGGAAAAAAAACAGACATCATTGACGCAAAACAAATCACTTGGGTTAAATACAAAATTCTCCGTTGTTTTACTTCACTCTCATCAGATCGGAAATCTGAATTAATCCCTTCTGTAGGGCTAAGGAAATCTTATAGAGGTTTTCCACAGTAGCCATGTTGCATGGCAAGAACAATAGATTATTTTTCCGATGGGAAAAATTTTTCTTTATTGTGCAAAATATTTTCATTATTCCTGCCATGCAACATGGCTGCCACGCAACATGGCTGACATGCAAAACCTCTATTAGCTATCAGGTGTCTCAATATGAAAATGGGTATTTATATTGGATATATCAAGAGCCGATGGCTACCCATGCACACGAAATATAAGGAAGAAGAGAAGATGACGACGTTTGAATTGTCCGTAAGCAGACATGTAATAGTCTGTTTATTACATATTATAGATGATTGAATTAGATTGAATTAATGAATACAAGAAAAAGTACTTTTGAAGAGCAAAGAGATATACTTTATTGCATGTAAAATCAGCGTGCAGAAGTGCTGTAGCAACCAGTTTAGGCACAAAAACGAGTACAAATACCTCGAACAGAAACGTTTTCCTTTAAAAAAGTTCAATTCGATCTTAAAAAATTTTGGTTGATTAAAAAAGATCTTCATTAAATGTAAAACCGCCATGTTGATCTATTGGTAACCATGACGACAATATGCTTTCTTCATCTTTCCCACGGTGACAGTTAAAATTAGTATATTCGCTTTGTACGATGAATATTTTAAATGCTCTCAAACGAGGAAAATTATACCTCGATTCCATTTTTATTCTTTTTATCTATTATCTTAAATCATAATCATGCAGAGATAAATTTTTCAAATTCACTTTAAACGGAAATCATGTAAACATTTAAGGAAGACACTGATCGAAAGTAATAACTCTTAAGTATATCACCAATCGTAAGTTCACTAACAGAAAAAGATCACCCCCAAGAGAACAAGGTTCAAAGAACCCCTTAGTTTCAGTGTCGGTGCCATTCAATGGAAAACGACAGGATGTCAGCATTTTGGTCAAACGCATTTCAACTAGATGACGCGGGGAAACTACCGCATTCTTTATCTTTAGTTGACACCCAAGTCTGACGTTCTATCGAATTTATCACTAACTTAACGGTCCAAGTTCATGTGCTGTTTATTCTTGTGATAAACATTGTTTCTTGATCCATTCCTATTTAATACCTTTAAGCTCAAATGCCTATAAGTAACTACAAACTCAAATGTTTTGTGCTTAAACAGATTCATTCAGATCCTTTATTGTGGTGCTAGAATGTTCTTTGCCGATCACTCAAAGGGTTTCGACTTGATTGACCATTCAATTCTTCTCAGCTGCAGGGAGTTGACGTCTTACGACTTAGACACCGTCTTAATTAACTGGATTAGTGCCTTCCTAACTATGAAATCACAAGCTGTAAGGATTGGTAACTCTCTGTCTGATTGGAAGTCACCCACGGGAGGTATCCCACAAGTGACGAAACTGTGCGGGATTTTTTTTGTTGTAATGACCAACAATCTTTGGCGTGAATGGCATTTGAGGATTAAATTCATTGATGATACCGCGGCTTTAGAAATCCTGCAAAGAAACGGTATTAGCTTACTAAATGTAGCTCAATGAAACTCACAAGTTTTCTATCGAACATAATATGAAATTAAACCCGAAAAAATGCAAAGAAATATTAATTAACTTCATGCAAAACGATAATTTAACTACAAGACCAACTGTCCTAGGTAATAACACCGTCGAATGTGTAACAACTTATAAATTACTCGGTATTATAATCAGTAATGACTTAAAGTGGAACGAACATATTGATTACCTATCAAAAAAAGGTTCGAAACGCCTTCATTCCCTGAGCGTTCTTAAAAACTGGGTGTTAATAGAGAGGGATCGAATTGTCGAAGTTTATTTGAAACAATAAGGCCTACACTAGAATATGGCGTACAAGTCTGGCAAGAAATTCCTAAATTTCTTTCAAATAAGCTGGAGTCAATTCAAAATAAGGGCACTACATATTATCTACCCGTGCCACAGTTACTTAGATGCCCTTAGACTACCAACCTTAACAGCTTGAAAGAAAGACGAACACAGCTTTACTGAAAGGGCGTGTTTCAAACACGACATGGCAAAATGACGAAATGGCGAAACGACGAAATGGCGAAATGGCAAAAAAGCGAAATGGTGAAATGGAACTTAAGACAAGAAGCAAAGTTATAAGGTATTACCGTTCCACTGAAATCTCCATCTGTTGCCGAATTTATTCTGTGGATTAATCGCCACAAATAAAAGAAATGTCTACAATCACAAATTCGCCATCACGGACCCTTCCGTAATATCGATTCCAGTCTCTCTTTATTAACAGGGCGCAGGTTTGACGCCTAGGATATTCCTCATCAAAATGACGGCGTTTTGGGNATTGTATAAATAGCGCTCTTTGCTGCGAGAATCGTACACATACATAAATGATAATGTCAACCGTACAGCAGATACCAAACGTTTCTGTATTATTTAGTTATTTTTCAATACAATGTCATTCGGTGGGCAGATTCTATCTAAAGGGCTCGAGAAGGGACCATTTAAGAAACTCATTTTCTAGATTTGGAATAAAACTGGAATATTATAATAATCTTAATCACCCACCCATCCAAATACATATATATCTTATTAGACGTTTTGTTGTGTAGTATCGCCGAGTACTTTTTACGAGTTGTGCCGTGTTTTGACGAGCCCGAAGGGAGAGTCAAAATACAAACAACGAGCAAAAATACTCAGCGATACTACACAACAAAACGTCTAATAAGAGATTTATTATCCAACACCCCAATTTGTTATTTCAGTGCGAGCGAATTTCGCGGAAATTTCTGGAGTACAAATATCGGGTGATATTTGTACTCGTCTCGCGCGAATTTGTACTCTACGAAGCACAATTGGATAATAAATATATCTTATTAGACGTTTTGTTGTGTAGTATCGCTGAATATTTTTACGAGTCGTGCCGTATATGACGAGCCCGTAGGGCGAGTCAAAATACAAACATCGAGTAAAAATACTCAGCGATACTACACAACTAAACGTTTAATGAGAGATTTATTATCCAACACGCCAAATTGTTATTTCAGTGCGGGCGAATCGCGGAAATTTCTGAAAAATGAGAAAAATTGATCAAAGGATGTAAGAATATCATGATAGCCCTTGTCATATCCATCGGAGAAAGGTCACTTAAATCGAAACATGTAAAACTGTTCTTGTCAAAGTCTGGCGGAGATTTCTGCTGCTAAGTAAAATAGCATCACTCTGCAAACTACAAGGGCCGGTTATCTAAGTTTAGATAGATAGATACTTTATTATAAACACCTTGCAGCCATAGGCTGAATTACGGAATATTTACAAATACAGATGATAAAAAAGGAAGTATAAAATATTACAACTTCGTCATTAAGAAAGAAGGAAAATTATCTACATCTTATAAATATGGCTAAAATAAAACTGTTCTTCAAGCGCTCGGTTTTGCATATAGGGAGAGTGAAATCACTTTTGCGCCTCAGTGCGTATTCACAACTCTTCCTTTGGGGGAGGAGGTTGTGGAGTCTATGGGTGGGGTTACGGACTATTTCGTCAAACAGACTGGTTGAAATTTTTTCCCTCCTCTCGTGAAGTTTCGGTAGGCCAGCTGTTTCTAGTGCTACACTATATGACAGGTCAGGATAGATGATTTTGAGTGCCGTTCTTTGGATCCGTTCCAAATCTTCACTGATGTAGTTTGGTAGAGAACGGTGGAATACAGGACTTGCGTATTCCAAGACGGGCCTAATACATGTCACATAGAATTGCACAAGTTCGCTTGGTGCAACTCCGGATCTCTTGAGTTGTCTCAAAAAGTAGAGACGAGAGGAACATTTTCTACTTAGTTCAGAGGTGTGCATGTTCCACTTTAAATCGTGGCTAATGGTCACGCCTAGCAATTTGGCACTGGTGACTAGTTCAAGGGGTTTGCCATTTATGACTAGGGGTTCAAAATCGTGGTTGCTGTTAGAGAATCCAATTCGTAGTTCTTTGCACTTGGCCTCATTCA